TATTGGGCAGTAGACTTTTACACAGCTGTCACCTTTGTAATTGCTCTTGTTGTTTTTAAATATGCAATTACCAATACTAAAAGATAAAATAAAACTAATGATACCAACAATAAATAAATAAATACACATGAATAAAAAATCTTCCATCTTTTTTACAATTATCTATAACAAAAAAAAAAGAAATATAATGAAAATATACACAAACAAAAGATTTATTATTTACAAAATAAAAAAAGAAAAAAAAATAAAAGGAATAATGTACAAGGTGAAAAAACGAATGAATATTATTAAGGTTGAGCTATTGTAAAAAAAATGAAGTTGATTAATGAAAAATAATGTGTGTGGTATGAAAATTATAATTTTTAATTAATAAAAAAAAAAAAAAATTTTTAAGACTCTTTTTTAAAAAATTAAAAAATTATAAACAATAAAAAAAAAAAATAAAAAAAATAAAATTAAACAAAAAAACAATTATCTATTTTCTTAATAATTTATTATAATTTATATTTAATGAATTTCTATTGATAGAATAGTTTCACCATTTTTTTTATTTAAAATTTAGATTTATAATATTTAATTTAATATATTCGTTTGATTTAAAAATTACTTTAAATTCTCTTTCGTTTGATATCCAAAATACCTAGGTTAACTTTTAAAATGTAAAAAAAAGATTTGAAAAAAAAAGATTAATTAATTATTTTATTATATAAATTTTAATCTTTATATAAATTGGTATTATATTTATAAATATATAAAAAATATTTAATAGATATTATAATTATTTTATTTGTTTTTTTTATAATTTATTGTCTATTTTTTATTTTTTTAATACAGTATTTAATATTTTTTTATTATATTTTTTATGAGTATAATGTCCTATTTGTTTTTTAATTTTGCTCTATTAATTTTTCTGTTTTCTTGTATTGCTGGTTGAAAAGTGACATCTCACTATTGCTCTATCAAAAATAGATTGGTTACCATAATTATCATGGGGGGGCTTCGGATAAAATTTTAGTATTACCAAGTTCAAAATATGCTGATACATCTACTATAATTGATACACTTTTTTGAATAGTGGTTCATCTTAATTCATTTGCTCCTCTAATATTAAAACCTTCTGGTGAAAATATGGTAATTTACTTTATATAAATTTTTTAAAATAAAATGTAATTATTATTAATTTTTAAAATGCAATATAATAATGTTATAATTTTAAAATCATCTTATTTGTAACTAATTTTCGGATATTGTTTTAATTAAAGAATTGCTATAATATTTTTGATAATTATGATTTATAAAGAAGATAGATAACTATAGATATAGCAATATTAAAAAAAAAAAAATTTAAATCGAACAAATATATTAAATTAATACCATAAATTTTAAATAAAAAAATAAGGTTGAAACTATTTTATCAAGTGAAATTCATTAAATAATAATTATAATAAATTATTAAGAAACTCTCACTTTAAAAGACAATTGTTTTTTTGTTTAATTTTATTTTTTTTTATTTTTTTTTATTGTTTATAATTTTTTAATTTTTAAAAAAAGAGTTTTTAAAAAAAATTTTTTTTTTATTAATTAAAAATTTATTTGTAAATAATAATTGTTATAAAATAATGTATTATTTTTTATACATATTTGTTTTTTTATTTTTTGTTGCTATCAGTTTAAATTTATCATTTTTTAATGGTAAATTTATATTCAAAGAAGACAGCTGGGTAAACCTCTACAGCCAATATTGGGAAGGTCAGATATACCAAAAACAAGAACAATTTCAACAACTTCAACAACTCCAACAAAACCAACAGAACCAACAGAACCAACAGAACCAACAAAAGAAACAAGAATTGAATCAAGAGGATGATGAAAATTTTTTAGCAAAACCTAAAAAAGTTATTTTCAAACCAGAAGAGTTACATCCATTAATGAAATGGAAATCGATTACAAATATTGGAGCAGGTTTATATAATATTGGTAATACATGTTTTATGAACTCAATTATTCAATGCCTCACTTATTCATCAACATTAGCAAATTATATGATCTCACGTGAACATAGTAAAAACTGTACCAATAAAAGTTTCTGTATTTTCTGCTCATTAGAAGATCACATTATTATCAGTCACAGAGAAACTGGTAAATCTATAACTCCAATAGTAATTGCTAAAAATATAGAAAAGGTTGCACCAACATTTAGAATTGGTCGTCAAGAAGATTCCCACGAATTTTTTTGTTTTGTAATCGATTCTCTTCAAAAGGTTTGTCTCTCTAAATTTCCAAAGGGTACAATTAGTCCACGTGATTCAATGACAACAATAATTGGTTCTATTTTTGGAGGTTATCTTAGAAGCCAACTCAAATGCTCTGTTTGCCAATATGAATCTAATAAATTCGACGAATTTATGGATTTAAGTATAGATATTAATCAAGCAGATTCATTAACTAAAGGACTTCAAAATTTTGTAAAACCAGAAATTCTTGATGGTGAAAATGGTTACAAATGTGCAAAATGTAAAAAGTTGGTTAAAGCAGAAAAAAGTTTACAAATTGAAATCTCACCTCCAATTTTAACAGTCCAAATTAAACGTTTTTCATTTTTAGACTCCTATGGTGGTAAAGATAATAAACATATTCAATTTGGTCAAACTTTAGACCTTTCACCATATATGACCCAAACAAATGTAATTATATAATTAAATAATTTAATATCAATAGTTATAAATAATAATACTAATATATTTTTTTTACAAAATTTTAGGATCATTCAATCTATGATTTATATGCAGTATTGGTTCATTTAGGTGATAGCACAAATTCAGGTCATTATTATTGTTATGTTAAAGGTACAAATGGAGTTTGGTATAAAATGGATGACTCAATGGTTTCACAAGTTAGTTTAAAATCTGTTTTACGTTCAAAGGCCTATATGTTATTCTATTCAAAGAGAGATACTGTAAAATCCATCAATACAAACACAAATTCAGTTATCCAAAAAAATACACTAGGTCTAAAGAGAAAATTAGAAGATGTAGTAAGTGAACTACCAAAACAAGATATTAAAAAACAAATTAAAATTAGTGAAACTGAAAAGAAACCAATTGTTGAAGATAAGAAATCACCAGTATTAAATGGTTCTAAGCTAACTAACAGAGATGCATCAGTAAAAGTTAAATCAAATCCAGTTAACACAAACACAGTTATCTCTAGAAATACAGTTTGTCAAAAGAGAAAATTAGAAGAAGATAGTGAACTACCAAAACAAGATTTTAAAAAACAATTTAAAATTAGTGAAACCAATTGTTGAAGATAAGAAATCACAAGTACAAAATAGTACCAACCAACACAGCTTCATCAGTTAAAGTTAAATCAACTCCAGCTCCAATTAAAAATCACCAGTATTAAATAGTTCCAAAACAACAGACAACAGCCTCAACAGAAATTGGAGACACCAATCAATTATAATCGTGCTGCTTCATTCAATAATCAACAATAGCTCCAAAGAAAATTACAACAAAAAACACTACTTTATTCGTTATCAATATACCACAATACTCAAGTGCATTATCACTATATCATATAATAGTTATAATAGTTCAATTCCTTTACAACATTCGATTATGTTCAAGTAAGTAATTCATACATTTATATATATAACAAATAAAACATATATTAATTACTATTTTCAAACAGAATTAATTTATCCTGGATCAAAATTTAAACCCTAACCATAGAGTCATCAAAACATTACAAATTACAACATCCTATTCAATAAACAGTCAAAAAGTTAATGCAAATAACCATAATTATAATCAATCTTTACTTTTCAAATAATGATGCTTTTCAATCTAATCGACATTGAAAATACCAACTTTGTTCTGGCCAAGCAACTATGGTATAACATTAAAACCTTTTAGATGAATAAAATAACTAGTAGTCCTAGTATAATCTCGTGCATCAAAAATGAAGAGAATATAATATACAAGTACCTGAAACTCATTCAACCCAAATTGTAGAAACAATCAAATGAAATTGGATATTCTCATGTCATATATTACCTCACCATAATTAAATTATAAATAACAGATAAAAAAGTATGTTTAGTACTATTTAATTATTATCATTCATTTCTATATTTCATAAAGAGTTAGTTTTATAATTATAGATTAAAAATTAATTAATAAAAAATAAAGATTTAACATTTATTACATTTTAAACTTTTTTATTTTATTATATTTTTTATTGGTTTTAAATTATCCAAATCAAAGTCGAAGTTATTCATATAGTTTAAAAATTTTACAAACAACTATCTATAATATTTCTGTAACTCTGTCAAGTTGCCCCTTTAAATATTTGTGTATATATCCCAGTAGGGGAATAATACCTGATTTAATTGCTTTCTTATTTCATATTCATTTTATGCTGTCTTTGGGTGTTGTCTGTGATTCTTTGAAAAGTATACCCCCAATTTTTAGAAAATATCAAAACGTTATCATAGCCATTTTAAATTTTTGATATTTATTTTTGATGGGATTTTTTTTTCTATTTTTTTTTCTATTTTTTCTTTGATAAAATTATTTTCTATAAACAAATACTATATTATTAATTACTGATGTTAATATAATTGATTATTATAATGTACAAAAAATAAATTTTTTATTTCTTTTTTTTATTTTGTGACTATTTAAACAAATAAAAAATATTTATTATTATATAAATTAAGAAAAAAATTTTGTGATTGCAATGAAAAGTGTAAATATTATTATTTTTGATATAGTGTATGTTTTTCTATATTCTATTATTATTATTATTTTTTTTTTTTTTTTTTTTTTTTTAGTTGATATAATTTTATCAATATATAACAACTTTCCATAAAATATTATTATGAAACTCCTCAGAGTTTTCTATATTGGTCTATCCTCATCTTTGCAGTTACTTTGAAAATGGTACTTGTAAGCTGTTGACCATGCAAGCATTACCCTTTTTTCTGAAATTTATATTTCCTTCAATGTCCGAGAAACTACTATTCTTGTTCGGTGGAATCACTTGAGAAAATACTATTTTCTTGTTCATTGTCTTAGGAATCGCATATATAATTACTCTGTACTTTTTGAATTCAATTATCTTTGGGTATCCTGTTCCTAATAGCAGTCTTACTTTCTTGAGATGAGGATGTTATTTATTTATATACCTATAAAATATAATATAATTTATAAAGCTATATATAATTTATAGGACTGAAAATAATATATGAAATGAAAAAATAAATTAAAAAAAAAAATTTTGGAAATTAAAAGTGAATATATATAAAATATTTAGGTGTATGAAAAATAAATGAAATGTAAAAAAAAAAAAGAAATAATACAAAGCAATTAAAAAAAATTTAAAAAAAAATAAATTAAAAAAAATAATAAAAAAATTTAAATTTAAATTAAAAGAATCCAAAAAAGTGTGTGAAAGGGCTAAATTTAGATAAAATATGTGTATTTTTTTAGGATTTATTTATATTTAAATTCATCTAAACTATAATAATTAACCACAAAAACATCTAAATTTAAAATAATATAGTTATCTTCAAAGATTCTTTAATACTGATTTCCAAAATTGCCAATATGGAGACCAAAATAAATAGCTCAAAAGTTTTCCATAATTTTTTTATTTATTTTTTGCAACTCCTATAAAATCCCACAAGTTGTATACAATACCATTGCCAATTACATAATTTTAACTGAATTAATCCTTTAATTATGTGGCAAAAAATTGTATGCCCGTTGAGCTTGGGTTTGACCGGAGTGTGTGGCTAAATCTTTTTATGAGCATGAACTCGAGGTGGCCTTTAATTTTTTATTTATTTTAAAATACCTTTTTTTTTTTTTTTTAAAGTAAAGATGATTCTTAATGATTCATTAAGTCATCATTTTATTGTGTTTTTTGTTTTTGTTTGGTATGTGTATAATACTTAAACAGAGTTTTACCACACTGCATACAAGTTGGACACGGTAAAGTCAATTCGTGTGTGATTCGGAAAACCTCCTGAAACTGGTTTTCGAACCCGGAGCGGTAACTTGTAGGAAATTTGCTCCCCCATTTTAAAACCCTGCCAATCTCCGAAAAGATAAATCTAAAAAATCGTGTATCGCCTAGACATGGGATCGAACCATGGACCTAGCGGTTAACAGCCGCTCGCTCTGCCTACTGAGCCATCCAGGCATAACTTGAAAAGTCATTAAATTATATCCCATTCGTTTTGAAGAATCGTAATAATTCAAGTTTCTTTTAATAACTAGATCCAGCTTGTCAACAATTTAGAGAAATTTAGTAAGGCATGGAATTCATATATCTTTAGAGTAAATATACCTATAAACCTGGAAATCTAAAGAACATTATCAATAAAATAAATAAAAAAAATTAATTAAAAAAAAAATTAAATAACAAAAACTAAATAATTAAAAACAAATAATTAAAAAAAAACTTAAAAGTAAATAAATAAAAGACGTGTTAACCTTTGCTCTATTCTAATTGAAAGGATAAGTCAAAAATAAATGTTTACAAATTAAAAGAAAAAAATTATACAAATGTTATGTTGTCAATTTTCAGAATCCAATAGTTTTTTTTAATGAATGCCTTTAAACAAAAAAATACCTACTGTAAATGAAATGGTTTTAAAACAAAACAACAACTCCAAATACCCTATTTCCTATTAAAAAAAGTAATGAAACAATTATAAAATAAAAAATATTAAAAAAATAAAAAAAGAATTATGTTTAATACTATTTTTAAAATTTATAATATTTTATTTTTTTTTTTTTTTTTTTTTTTTTTTTATAATTATTAATAAAACTTATTCTATTATAACTAAATATTATTTAAAATTATATAATTGGTACTTATATTTTAAATTATTGTTTATTGTTTATTATTTATTTTTTAATTGTTTTTTTTTTTTTTTATAATTAAATCTAATATTTATTATTTATTTTTTTCTTGACCACCATAATTAAACATTTCTTTAGTTTCAACACCATATTCAGCTCTAATGTCGTCAACTAATAAACCGTCTTCTTTTTGTGGTTGTACAATTTGTGGTTGTTCTTCAATTTCATCCTCTTCATCATCATAATCTTCATCTTCTTCAACATCATCTTCATCAAGTTCACCAAATTCATCAATAACTTCTTCCCATTCTTCTTTGCTGTAATCGCCCATGTACCATTTTCTATATTCTTCCATTTCGGCATTGCTTAAGCTGTAAACATTTGGATCTTCGATGGCGAATTCACCATTCTTGTAATTAAATAAGCCAAGTGATTTAGCATGTTTGAAAGTTTTTGCGATTTTCTTTTGATGTTTTAAGCAGTTACCAGAGAAAGCTCTTGGTAATAAATCACCTTCGGTGGTGACATATAAAGTAAGGAATGGTACATTGAGTGGATCAAGCTCCCAATTTGGATCTTTACATAATAAACAGTTGGAATGTTTCTTCTTTGGAATATGGATTTTACCGGTATTTTTATTATAAATTGTATTTGCTTGTGGTTCGTTACGAATTGATTCTAAAACATCTCTTTCGATTGCAGCTTTAGCCAAAGTGTATTTTTGTGATTCTTCTTCAGCACGTTTTTTAGCAACTTCTTTTTCAACGTCAACTTTATATTTGATGAAATTACGGATTAACTCTGGATCTTCTTTTTCGAGTTGTTCGATACGTTCTTGTTCGAGTTGTTCTTTAACTTGTTTAGTGATATTATTGAGGGCCCAAGTTGATGCATATTCTGGGGTTTCAGTTTCAAACTTTAATAATTTTTGTGAATCTTTAATACGACCATCAACTAAAATTTGTTGTTGCATAATTTCCTCTGGTGTCATATCTTGGACATCAACATTTGGTGTTTCATCTAAATTTTCTACATCGAAAGCATCATTTAAAGTTGTTGGTGATTCAATAAATTCTGGTTCTTCTCCTTCGGCTAATTCGGCAGCATCTTCTAATGGTTGGTTACCTTCTTCAAAATCGAAAAGATCTTTTTCATAAATTTCGGCCATATTTTCTTTTTCTGAAATATCTAATTCGTCAATGTCTTCTTCACTTGCATCAGCATCTTCTGAGTCTTCAGATTCTTCGTCGGCAGTGACTTCTTCATCCTCTTCTTTGGCTAATCTCTTTAATACTTTTGGGTCTGATATATCTAATGGAATTTCACTTTCCATGAGTTCATCGTAGGCACCTGTTGGCATTGGTGCATGACCTTCTGGGGTTAAGATTGAATGGTTGGTAATTGTGCTTGCAAGTGGATGGAACTTCTTATTGAATGAATTTTCAAAGACGATTGGGTTCTTTTGGAAACCTTCGATATCGATGTTACCGTTTTCATCAATGTGATTAACAAGATGTTGTTGTAAAAATTTAATATTTCTTAAATTGGTTTCGAGTGCTTGTTTACCAGAGTCTTCGATTCTATATAATGCTTTGAGATCTTTTTTGAATTGCTTATATTCTTCTTCAGTAAACTCTTCGACGTCAGATTCTTTTAAGTCTTCTTCTTTAAAGATTATTTTGTCTTTTAATGGAATTGATGGATCGAGGAAATCAAAAGCCAACTTTTTGTATTCTGGGTTATTTTTGATGTTTTCTGCAAATTTCTTAAGTGTATCTCTGAGTTCATCTTTTTTGGCGATCAATGAAGTGGATGAAATATCGATTTGGTATGGATCTCTATAAAGTACTGACTCTTCTAAATCTTCAATCATAGCTTGTTTGTAAATATTTTGAAGGTTTCTTTGTTGGTCAACTTTTTCGTCTTGCTCTTCTTGATTATCTAAGAAACCAGTGTTTTTAAATCTTTCAAATTCAAATCTATTGACATTCTTTAACTCTGATTTAGTTTTAATACCTTTCTTTTCTATGAATAATTTCCATTGTTCTAAATCTTTTTCTTTTTGTTCCTTGCTTTGAACTACAAAACTGACTAATGATGGATCTAATTGTTTTTCGATTGATTTGATTTCTTGTGAAAGTGATGAAATCTGTTCTTCTTTACCACCTGCAATCCTTAATTGTGTTAACTTTTGTACTAAATCACTCTTTTTTCTTAATAAATCTCTTTCTCTTTTAAATTCTTCAAATGATTTAACCCCATCTTTATTACTTGAATAATTTCTGATTACTAAATTTGATGTGAATGTAAATTTTTTGCAATTATTAATTGATCTAATAATTGATTGCATCTTTTTTTTTTTTTTTTTATTTAATTTTGTTATTAAACAATATTAAAACAAAAATAAACAATATATATAATATTATATAAAAAAAAAAATAATGCAACAAATACTGAAAAAATAAATAAATAGTAAAAAAAAAAATTCGAAAAAAAATTAAAAAAAAATAAAAAATTAAAATAAAAAAAAATAAAAAAAAAAAAATGAAAATTTTTTTTACAAAACACTTTCGTTTTTTTTTTTTTTTTTTTTTTTAACACAAACAAGTTTTGATCAATGTAGTTCAATTTTGAAATAATAAAAAAACATAAATAAACAATGAGATTTTTTCATTATTTTTTAAACAATATGATATCAAAAAAAAACATATTCATTTAGTAAAATTTAAAAATAGATAAAAAAAAGGAGGAAGTTATTTATTATCTATAAATGAAAAAAATAAAAATAAATAAAATTTTATGACATTTTTGAAAAAAAAAAAAAAATATTTGATTTATTTGATATGTTTTTATTTATTTGGCTAATAATATTTTTTTATTATTTACAATGTTATCTAAAGATTTTAATTACAATATATTATATCTGCGAGTTAGGAAATTAAGAAAAATTCAGTTCAATTGTTATTTAGGAAATAAGTAATAAAAAAAAAAAAATAAAAAAAAAAAAATAAAAAAAAAAAAAATCGTTTATTTTTTTTTTTTTTTTTTTTTATTTTTTTTTTTGAAAATTTAATACAAAATATCTGAAGGAGTTAGCAATTATAATTACTAAAACTTTTCCAATTTGTTTTTATTTTAAAATTTTTTTATTTATATTATTATTTTTTTTTTAAAATTTAGTTGCGTCTCAACATCTTTTGGGATACTTTTCGACTTTATGTCAAATCAATAGGGATTCGTTTATTTATTTATTTATATATATTTTTATATTATTTGTGCAAAAATAATAATAATAACATTAAAATATATAATCAATTATATCAGTAATAATAATAAGGTTGTTTTTATTTAAATAAAAATAATAAATAAAATTTAATAAAATAGATATTTTAAAAATTTTAAAATTATAAATAAATTTTATTTATTTAATACAAATAAATAAATCAAAATGTTCAATAGAAAAGTAACACTTTATAATAAACCCAACAATGGTAAAAAAAACAATACAAGTAAAATATTTTTAATGGTTATTGTTATTGCCATCTTAGTTATTGTATTTGTTCAAAGTGCCAGTATTTCATCCTATAGCGGTTCAATAAACACCGATTCTGTCAGTAAAGCAATAGAACAACAAATCGTTGAAAAACAACAACAACACGAAAAAAAAGTCGATAATCAACAACAAATCATTGATCAACAAGTTGAAAAACAACAACAAGCTGAAAAACAACAGCAACAACAACAACATTTAAAAAAAGAGGAGGACCAAGTAAAACCAGAGCAAACAGGTCAACAAACAGGTCAACAACAATTTTTATTATTTGAAGAAAATAGAAAGGAATTAGAGCAAACTCCAGAGCAAACTCAAACACCCACACCAACAGAAGCATCAGAGCAACAAAAAGAACAAGAGCAACAAAATAATGGTGATTCAAATGATGAGGTTCAAGTTCAATATGAAAGAATGACAAAAGAACAAAAAATAATTTTGGCGGAACATCAAAGAAGAATTCAAAATAAAGTTAGAGTTCCACCAAGCTATAAACAAAAGGAAAAACCAAGAATAGATATTGAGATTGATATATTAACCAAAAAAGAAAGAGAACATCTTCAAAGAGTTGTAATTCAAGAGTGGAAAGATGAAGTTGAAATCTTAAAGAATTTAGATATTGACCCAGGTTATGCATCAATCCCAAAAATCCCAGAGGACTATACACCACCAACTGGCGAAGAGTTGGAACGTAAAATTAAAGATCAAACTTGGAAATTAAAAAAAGAAGAAAACCCATTCCTCTTACCAAAACCACATATTTTTATTCATGTACCAAAAACAGCTGGAAGTTCATTAGCAGGTATTTTTAGAAGAAATGAAAAGCGTGATTCATTCGCTCACCATTGGATGCACCCAAACTATAGAGAATTGGAAAATGTAGTTAAGAAAGATACTGTTTTCGGTCATATCAGATATGGTCTTCATAATTATTATGAACGTGTATATCCAGATCGTTTACCAGCCAACGAATATGGTTTAAACAAGTATTCATACATCACAATGCTCAGAGAACCAGTCGATAGAGTAATTTCAAACTATTACTACCATAGACAAAATAGAAAAGATCCATTCCACGATCTCGCAATGAAATACGAACTTAGGGATTGGATTAAGGTTAGCGCCGCTGCCAATAATGAACAAGCTAGAATGATTTGTGGTTTAGGTTGGAGCGATTTTGGAAACGAAACCATATCGCAAATAGCTCATCATCACTTAAAGTATACTTTTAAACATGTTGGTATTACAGAGGATTTCGTTGGTTCATTAGTTTTATTATCACATTATTCAGGTCTTCAAAATATTAGATTCTCAAAAATCAATACAGGTAGACAAAGAGTTTCAGTTGATACCATTCCAGATGATGTTATTGAAGAAATTAAAGAAAGAAACTGGATCGATATTTCATTATACGAAATGGCTAAAGATATTTATAATAAACAAATTGATTTAATTGGAAGAGAATTCTTTGAAAAAGAAGTACAAGAATACAAAGGAAAATTCATGAACAAATATTCTTTACCATCAAATGGAATAAGAAGTTAAAAAAAATAAAAAAATAAATATATACTATAAAAAATAATAATATTTTTTTTTAAATTAAAAAAGCTTTATAAGGTTTCTTATTTTATTTATTTTATTTTATTTTATTTTATTTTATTTTATTTTATTTTATGTTTTTATTATATTAATATTTATTAGTTGAAAGCAAAAGATAACCAACCACCCATTAAAAGTAAACCACCAATTGGTGTGATTCTACCAAACCAAGGTTTGTTTTTAAGTGAGATGTAATATAATGAGCCAGAGAATAAAGTAATACCAGCTAAAAATAATCCACCTGTAAGAGTTGAGTTGCTTGAAAATGGAACTAAAAACAATGCCATTGAATGAAGGATGTGATATTTTGAACCAATTCTGAATTGTTCTACTCTTTTTGCATCTTCAATTTTTTTTGGGAGTCCATGAGAACTATAAGCATCAAGACCTACTGCAATACAGGTTAAGATACCACCAATTCTCCACCATATTTGTGATTGTTCGAATGATAACATCTTTTAATAAATTATTTAATATAAAATAAAATAAACAAAATAAAAATAAAAAAAAAAAATAAAAAAAAGAAATTTTTAAATTATCTAAATTTTTTTTTTTTTAATTTTTTTATTTTTTATTTTTTTATTAAACCATTTATTTAATCATATTTAATTTAAATAGATATAGCATTGAATGGTTTTAGTTTATATTTATTAAATTTTAAGGATATTTCATTTTTTTTAAGTTTTTAATTTTATTTTAAAGTATCTTTTTTTTTAGTTTTTTTTTATTAGTTTTTTTTTTTTTTTTTTTTTTTTTTTTTTTTTTTTTTTTGAAATTTTAAAATTTTTTTTAATTTTTTTTCTTTATCCCATCAAAAGAATTGAATTAAATTTAATTATATTCAATCTTAATAAGATATAGGAAAAAATGATTAAGACATTAGCTTCAATCAAACAACAAATCGAAAAAATCAATGAACGTATGTAGATCAATTTTAGATCGAGCATTAATCAAAAAAAAATTCAAATTGGCTAACTAATAATTATTTAAATTGTAGATGATAAGGAAACTGGTTACAACATCACAATAAATGATTTTAAAAAATCACTCGATTTATTCGATGGTTTAAAAAAACTTCAACAAACTTTAACTACTCAAAAACAAAAAACAGGTAAACAAATAGCTGTTAAACAAGAGACTGATCAACAATTAGTTTCAAACTTTATGGAATGGTTAAAAAATAGTGGTTTTGATGAAACCAAATCAAAAGTTAAAATTGGTAGAAATCTTGCAGAAGGTTCAGGTTTAGTTTCAACATGTGATATTAAAGAGGGTGAAGAGTTTCTCGAAATACCAGAAAAATTATTTATTGACATCATGACAGCTTTAAAATCATTTGGCCAATCAGGATATGATATTTTATTACGTGATAATCTTATTAGAAGAGTACCAAATTTAGTTTTGGCTCTTTATTTAATTAAAGAATCAACAAATCCAGATTCATCTATCGCACCATATCTTAAAGTTTTACCAAAAACATACTCCACCATTGGTTATTGGGGCATAGAGGATTTTAAGCAATTGGAAGGTTCACCAGTTTTCCAAACTGCAGTTAATTATACTCGTGGCTCAATGCGTCAATATTGTTATTTCTATCAATTATTCGATAATAATCCAGGTATTCTCCAAACCTCAAATTTCACCTATGAAGCTTTTATTTGGGCTGTTGCAACTGTTCAAAGTCGTCAAAATCCAGTCGGTGGAGGTCAAGAAATGGCACTTATTCCATTTTGGGACTTTTGCAATCATTCTTCACATGGTGGCAAAATTACAACTTTTATCGATCCAGTTAAACATGTATTAACCTGCTCTGCTGCTAAAAGCTATAAAAAGGGTGAACAAGTTTATATGTATTACGGTCCACGTCCAAATTCCCAATTTTACTTATTCCAAGGCTTCTCATTAAAAACCAACTTAAATGATGACTATTCATTTGATATGGATTTAGATAATGAAGACGATCGTGATATCGCTCATGACAAGATTCATATCCTTGAAGAAAGATGTGGTTTAAGAGTTGGTCAAACAGTTTCACTCTCACAAAATCCATCATCCGAAAAATTACCAGCTGAAATTATCCCATTCTATCGTATTGCCGCTTTATCACCAGAAGAAACTAAAAAATTAGCTCCACCACAAGAAGAAGGTCACCATCACCACCATCAAGGTCCAATGGATATGAAACCAGAGGCATTCAATATTATCAGTGAGGAAAATGAAAAGAAAGCTTTTAAATTACTTTTGGATTCATTAAAAGCTAGATTATCAGGCTATCCAACCACTTTAGCTCAAGACGAACAAGAAATGAAAAATAACCCAACAACTCAAAGAAGATATGTCTTATACATTTTAATCAATGAAAAGAAAATTTTAGAAAGAAACATCAAGTATGTCGAACAATTAATCGAAAAGGGTGTTATGAATGCAGAATTAAAGAAAATCGAGTTTTCCGAAGAAGAATCATGCGGTGACGATCATGGTGATCACGGTCATAGTCATGCTGGTGGTCATAATCATAGCCATGGTGGTCACGGTCATAGCCATGGTGGTCATGGTCATAAACACTAAAAAGAAAACTCTGTTGTATAAAAAATATATAATAAAAATATTTATATAATAAAAAAAAAAAAAGTTTTTGATATTTAGTTTTTGTAAGTTTAATTTGTTTATTATTTTTTATACATATATTTAAATATTATAATATTATTAAGAAAGTGAATAAATTTAATTTTTTTTTTTTTTTTTTCATTATTACAACAAATTAAATAAAAAGATTAAAAAAATTAAAGAAAGAAAAAAATATCCTAAAATTTATATTATTAATTATTATTACTATTGTTATTATTTCTATTATTATTGTTATCTATTTAAATTAATTATTATTATTATTTTTTTATGGTGAATAGCCTTTGCTTTGGAGGAATTTTGTGGCTTCTTCAATTAAATCACAATCGACCTTATCGATTGTTTGGACATAATGTTTAGCTTCATCAACTTCACTATCTTTGAAACCAAATAATTTTAAAGTGTTTACAACCTCGATGATGAGCTCATCTTTTCTGGAAAGGAAATCACCAGAAAGGAAAATTGATTCTCCTTCTTTAGACATTATTCTATCCCAAATGATATTGCTTTCTCTTTCATAGCCAACATCTGAAACTAAAATGTGAAGATATCCATCGTGTTTGGTCATTGTGGCAAAATGGTTGTTTCTAAAAAATACACAAAGTTCATCTTCTTTTAAATTCTCTTGAATCAAATGTAAACCGTGCTCGGTTAATTGATTGCTATTGGCAAAGTCGTTGACTAATTATAAAATAATATTGATATATTAGTTAAAAGATTTATAGGTATTGATAAATAATAATAATAATTACCTTTTTGTTGAGTGTCTACTTTAGCATTTGGAAAGCTTTGCTCGAAAGATACAATTTTTGGAGCCAAGTCATTGTAGCTCAATGATCCAATGATTTGCTTTATATCTAATTGCTCTGGGTCAGGGATCCAGCCATGAACGAGTTTGATATTTAAATAATCAAAAATTTGACATGGTTCAGTTTTTTCGAAACCTGAAATATTATCGAAATAAATATTTACAATTAAACCTTTTTCTAAAGTTGGTAAAACATTTTTATCATAATCATCTAAAATATCCAAAACATCTTGATTCTAAAGTAATAAATAAAAGAAAATTAGTGTTTTTTTTTTTTTTTTTTAAAAAAATTATATTGTTAAACCTACACCTTCATATAAATTCTTTGCATATTTCATAATTAAATCCCCTAGTTTCTTGAGGGTGACATATTGAAGATCACTGTCAATATGAATTTTTCGTTGGAGCAATAAAACATTTGCAATTGAAATTAATGGGCAAGGTCCATTTTCATTTTGGAGAATAATGGAGACCTCCTTTTTAAGATAGCTAATTCTTTTTACTCTATATCTATTTTCTAGTGGCTGAGTATACAAAAAAAATTTTTAATTTTTTAATTTTTATAAAAATTAAAAATTTAATTTATTTTTTTCATGTTTTTTTTTTTTTTTGAAATAAAAATATAGGAATTTAATTAATATATGATATGATAGGAATATAAAAAATATAAAATAAAACTTACACCAATGGGTGGTTCATCATCAATTAATTGAACATTTAATTTTAATACCAATGATTCATAATCTTTTCCATTGTCCCAAAATGATGCACCTTCATCACCTTCAATGTGGAACCATAAGTTATTTTGATAAACTCCAATAACTAAATAATAATTAATAAATGGTTAGTAACAATAAAATAAACAAATCCTATAATTTGTTATATTGTATGATTTACCTGTACCAACACCTTTTGGTGTCATTACTCTTGAGCCTGCGAAAAAACCATATTTTTCACATGATTGTCTTGATACATCAAAATCTATTAATGTACCATCTTTGGTTTTATATTGAAAAATATCTGCCATGTTAACACTTGAATATATTGTAATTTGGATTAATGTGCAATGTTGTATTTAAATTAAAATATAACTGCTTGTGATAAAAAAAAAAAAAAAAAAAAGAATATAAAAAATTATTGTCTGTAAGTTAAGTTATTGTAAAATACAGCAATAAAAAAAAAGAAAAAAATTAAATGAAATATATATATATATACAGATTTAATCTAATAAGCTGAAAAGAACTTTTTTGTTTATTAAACTAATATATATAATTTATATAGAACGAATAAGAAAAAAAAATAAAAAAAAAAAAAAAGAAAAAATTTTTAAGTTAAAAAATAAATAAATTAAAAAAAAAAAAAAAAAAATATTTAAAAAATAATTTTAAAAATAATTTAAAAAATAATTTAAAAAATAATTTAAAATAATATTTTAAAAAAAAAAATTTTATAAAAATGATATTAAATGAATTTATTTAATTTTCTATTTTTATATAATATTAATAAAATTTGAGGATTTCATAACAATTTTGGTTTGAGTCTTTCTTTTAAAAATGATGTTGAATGATTTATTTTTGATTGATGCTTTATTATTATTTTTATTTATTTTTTGTTTTTATACTAATTATATTAATTTAATTATTTTTATTTTTATTTGATTTTTATTTGATTTTTTTATTTGATTTAATTATTTTTATGATTTTTGTTTTTATTATTTTGGGGTAATTACATTTAAAATATTATTAACATTACCATGTTCATCTGTAAGAATTGGTTTTTGTGGGTCATACTCCCAATTACCATCGATAACAAACTTATACTCGTACCTACCAGGAGCCAAGCGAACAATAACTGATCTAATAGCGACCGCATTTTCACTAATGCTATCTGAGCATTTCTCTTCGATTCTCGACAACTCGATCGTTTGAGGCGGGGTACTCAATTGAGGGTCATAGGATAAAAGTATTCTTTTATCCCAGTTTAAAAATGACCCTGTTAATTGAATAACATGACCACTATATGGCCATGTAAAAGTAATGGGTACCAAAACTTCGGCTTCTTGTTTCATATTATTACTATTATTAATAATAATATTACTGTTGTTACTATTGTTGATATTATTTGCCAAAGTTGAGTCGTTATCAATTTCATTGGAATTATTATTATTACCACTATTAATAATATTATTATTCATATTACTATTAATGTTGATATTATTTGTATTGTTATTACTATTACCATTGTTATTATTATTATTTATATTGTTTGTATTAATATCTTTTTCGTTAGAGTTTGGTAAACTATCTTGATTATTCCCAATAACTAAGCTATTTGAAATACCAATATTACCTAAACCATCTTTGCTATTATTGTTTGTATTATTACTACTATTATTATTTGGATTATTGTTATTTGAATTATTATTATTTACATTACTATTGCTATTACTTGCTATATTGTTTGCACTATTTATATTATTATCATTAATTCCTCCTGCAATATTATTAGTGATATTACTAGTAGTATTACCAGAGATATTATTAGTGCTTGGGCCAGTTGAGGCAGTTATTGGTGATGATGTTGATGCTGATGCTGATGTAATGCCATTATTGTTATTTATGGATGTTGATGAAGCTGCAGTTGCATCATTATCAGCGGAAACATTTGAATTATCACCATCATTGGCACTGACTTCGGATGTAGAATTTATTTCACCAACAAAAACCTCCATATTACTAAATACATTACAATTCTTATAAGTCAATAGTTTCTTTTTAAATGCTAATTCAACCATAGAGGTAATTACTGCTAATGGCATCTCTCTAATTTCATTTGGACCTGATTCTTTTAAAAATGTTGCGAATCCATATCTTCCATTCTAATTTAAATAAAATATTATTAGTATTATAATCAAAAAAAAATAAAAAAAAATAAATAAAAACTTGCTTACTCTTGAAATTGGGTGTGATGATTTTAAGAACTCTTCAAGTTGTTTCCAAGTATGTGGTAAAAAGAAATCTGGATTTGGATCAGATGGGTCGATACCTTCGAATCTTCCAGATGGTGGATACATTACACGATGTGGTTTTTCTCCGTCAATAATAAATGAACACGAAATTGCAATTGGTAAGATAATAAGATCGAAACTATAGCATGGATAGCCTAGTGTTTTCATTCTTTTTAAAATTTGTGATTCTGTAGGTCTAAAATAATCTTTTTTTAAGCTTTCTAAAGTCTTTAAGAGATGATTTAATATCTTTTTAGATCCAGGCGAAACATCAATTGCAACTCTGCCATCTAATGAATAAACTGGAAATGCCCATCTAAAAATTAAATATTAAGATTGTTGTTAGTAATAAGTATGAGTCGTAAAGAAAGAAAAAAATTAAATTTATCAGTATACTTACAAAATTTGTCTTATTTCTTTTACAACAATTAAACCAAGTGCTTGAGCATCAGATAAATAGTTATTTAATTTTGTGTATCCAATTTTGCTAATTAAAGAGTAGGGTAATTTGATACCAATTTCTGAAAATGTTAATTTTCGATGTTCACTATTATCTAAAAGTTCTAAAAGAGGTTGGAACTTGGAAAGAGTATCTTTGAGAAAAATTGAATTGCTACCCAATGGAATGTTTTCAAATAAAGTGCTAAAATCTGTAATTGGGCCACCAACGGTTGATCTTGGAGATGTTGCTGGGCTTGAGTTTGTTGGTGATACAACCTTTCCTTTATTGACTTTTTTCTTTTTCTTTATTATATTTGGTGAATTATTGTTATTGTTATTGCTATTGTTATTGCTATTGTTATTATTGTTATTATTATTATTAATACTATTAATTTTATTATTATTAATATTATTATTGTTATTGTTATTGTTCTTTCCATTGCCACACACCAAAGTACTATTTAAATAATTATATATTACATTATTATTCTTTAACACACTACCACTACTAATTTTTACAGAATTGTTATTACTATTATTATTTATATTATTTGTATTAGAAATAATATTACTAGCTAGATCAATATGATTAATTTCGCCAACTATTGAGTTTGAATGATTTAAAGGGGGTGAGAAATTACTATTGTTATTTGTGGCTTCATATTCTTCTTCATTATAGACAACAATGGTATCAATTGTTTCTTTTGAAATATCTATTCTTTCATCTGGATATAAATATTCATTTGCGTAGTTTGCCTCATTTTCAGGATTGCTAATTGTATTATTGTTTGTGGTTGTAGTGGTTGTATTTAAAAATGATATTTCTGATTCTAATTCAAAATTATCTTCTTTATAGAATGAGTTTTGATCTTCTTCATTACCAAATGAATCTACTGTTAGATCATTATCATTATCAGCCATTTCACCTTCATACTCGGACTGATTTTCAAAATCAGAACTATGTTTTGAATTTGGTGACGCACCTACAACTGGAGGACTACTGTCTTTTTCCTTACTACCACCACTACTATTTTTTTCAATTGTTGTGAATTCATTTGATGATCCCAATTGTTCAGTTGAATCACTTGTTTGCTGTGTTTGTGTTGTATTTGTAGTTGTTCCTTGTGATTGTTGCGCTGGTTGAACCTTTTCTTTTTCTTTTTCTTTTTCCTTTTCTTTTTCTTTTTCTTTTTCCTTCTCCTTCTCCTTCTCCTTTTCTTTTTCTTTTTCCTTTTCTTGTTGTGATGAAGAAGGTGCAGTTTCTTTTATTTGAGAAATTTGTGACTCTGAATTTGCTCTTGAATGATGGGAAGTGTAAGAAACATCACGTAACTGTTGTTGTTGAATACTTTGTTGAGGTGGTGTCTGATGTTGTTGGTTTTGTGTAGCTTTAATAGGGCTGTTGTTTGTATTATTTTGAGATCTTGATAAAAATACTCTTTGTTGTTGTTGTAGTTGTGATTGCTGATACTGTTGTTGGTGATTTTGTTGTTGATTATTTTGTTGCTGGTTATTTTGTGGATGATATTGTTGATTATAATGTTGTGGTTGTTGATGTTGTTGGTGTTGTTGACTATATTGTTGGTGTTGTTGGCTATATTGTTGATGTTGACTATAGTGTTGATTGTATTGTTGCTGACTATATTGAATGTGTTGTTGTTGTTGTTGCTGTTGTTGTTGTTGTTGATATGCTATTTGTTGCTGTTGTTGTTGTTGCTGTTGTGATTGATTAATTTGACTGAGTGGTGGTGAGCTTGGTGCTTTAATTGTTCCCTTTAATAAAGATATCCATTCATAAGAAGCAGTAGCGGAATATTTTAAAACATCGGAGGCATGGGTAGAATGAATTAAAAAAACTTGATATCTTCTAAAAGTTAAAGTATTTAAAACATTTGAAAAATCCCTATCACCGGAAATCAATACTATACAATGAGGTGGTTTGTTATCAATTACTAACTTTAAAATTTCTACAAGAATAGCAATATCTGAGGCATTTGATTTGTTTCTAGTAACATCATGTAAAAGAACTCCACATTCTTGAAGATTTGATCTTAGCTCATCCCTAATTAATTTTAAATTTGCAAACGCCGAAATATTCTTTAAAACTCCACGTTGTAATGCAAACGATCTAATAGCATTGACAACATGAATACCCTTTAAGTTTGATGGTACTGCACAATTTTCTAAATCCCAAAATACATTGACAGGTAAATCTGGTTGCATAGTTGTTATTGTGTGCGTTGATGTTGGATTATTGTTATTGTTATTATTATTATTATTATTGTTGTTACTATTACCACCACCACTTCTTTTTTCTCTTGTGTTACAACTATTATTTGTTTCAAACATATAAATAAAATTTATTTATTTAAATTTTTAATTTTGTTTTTTTATTATTATATTAAAAAAAATAAATATAAAAAATAAACAAAACTAAATAACAAAAAAAACAAAAAAAAACAAAACTAAATAACAAAATAAAACTATTATTGATAATAAGATTTTACTTTTGCTATTATTTTTTATTATAATGAAAGTGTACAGAAAATAAATAATTAATATGTAAAAAAAATGAAAGTGGGTTAAATGAAAAAAAAAAAAAAAAAATTAAAAAAAAAAAAAAATAAATAATTTTTATTTTTTTTTTATTTTTTTTAATTATTTTTTTATATACACAAATTTTTCTTATTCTATTTGTTCTTTAAAAGTCAACAAAAACATTTAAAAGGAATACAATTAATAACTAAAAAAAAATAAAGTTAAAAAAAAAAAACGAGGAGTTAAAGAAAAAAAATAAAAATAAAATAAAAAAAAGGAAAAAAATTATTATTGATTTTTTTATTATTTTTTTTTTTTTTTAAATTAATTGATTGCATCTGCAAAATTCATTCTAAAAATATAAATAAATGTAAAATTAGTAAAATGGTTAATTATTTATTATTATTATTATTATTATTATTTATTTATTATTATTATTATTATATTAAAATACATACGGCATTTCATCAATTTGAGTGGAATAAAATTGTTCAATATCTCTAAGAATTCTAATATCTGAATTTTTAACAAAATTAATAGCAACACCTTTACGACCAAATCTACCTGATCTACCAATACGATGAAGATAATTTTCACGATCAATTGGTAAATCATAATTTATAACTAATGAAACTTGTTGAACATCGATACCACGAGCTAAAATATCTGTAGTAATTAAAACACGGCTATAAATAAAAATAAAATTAGTATTAGTATTATTATAATTTTTATTATTATTATTATTATTATCTAATAATTATTATCTAATAATTATTTACTTTTCACCAGATCTAAATGATTTAATAATTTCTTCTCTTTCTTTTTGAACCATATCACCATGCATTGAGGCAACTGTGAAATTTGCCTCTCTCATTTTTTCTGTTAATTGATCTACCTTCTTTTTAGTGTTACAAAAAATTACAGCTTGAGTAATTGTTAAACTATCATAAATATCGCAAAGTGTACCAAATTTCCATTCTTCTTTTTCTACAGAGACAAAAAATTGCTTAATACCATCTAAAGTAAGTTCATCACGCTTTAAAAGAATACGAACTGGTTTTGACATGAATTTTTCGGTCATAGTAACAACATCTTGAGTGAGAGTAGCTGAAACCAAAACAATTTGAGTTGCTTCTGGAAGATATCTATATACATCGTTAATTTGTTGTTGGAAACCTAAAGATAACATTTCATCGGCTTCATCCAAAATCATCATTTTAATATGACGTGTAGAGAGTGATTTACGGGTAATCATATCCAAAACACGACCTGGAGTACCTGATACAATATGTACACCTGTTTCTAATTTCTTTATATCGTCGCTCATATTTTTACCACCAACACATGCATGTACTTGAACGTTCATATACTCTGATAATGCTAATGCTACTTTTTGAATTTGTTGAGCCAACTCTCTAGTTGGTGATAAAATTAATGCTTGTGGTGAACGTACATTAACATCAATACATTGTAATGCACCAATTGAAAATGTTGCTGTTTTACCTGTACCTGATTGTGCTTGTGCAATTGTATCTCTTCCTTTAATAATTGGTACAATCGCTCTCTGTTGAATTGCTGATGGTTTTTCAAAACCATAATTATATATACCTCTTAATAACTCTTCACCCAAACCCATTGACTCGAATGTTGGTTTGACTTCGACCTCTGTTGCAGTAACTGGTATTATATTTTAAAATTTCAGATATTAATATATTCATTATTTTACAATTAATTATTATTAATTACTACCTATACTTACAAGTAGATGGTGGTGGTTGTTTAGTTGATTTACTTGTCATTTTTATTATTTATAATTTTAAAATATATAAAAAAATAGTAAAAGTTTATTTATAACTAAAAATTAATTTAATAATCGAAAAAAAAAAAAATAAAAAAAATAAAAACAAAATAAAAAAAATTAAAAAAAAAAAAAAAAAAAATTTTAAAAAATATTTAAAATTTTTTTTTATTTAAATAAATATTCACAAATAGGATTATCTATAACCAAGAAATTACATTAAAAGAATAAATAAAAGGCAACTAAATAGGGGAATAGTTTGCTTTTTATTTAAGTATTGCATATACCCCTAAATTATAATAAAAGATTTAAATAATAAATATATAATCTTTCAAAAAAAAATAAATAAAAACACCCATTTGCACGAAAAGGTGGTATTAATAATGCAAATCTAAATTTACAGTATATTCCAAATTTAAAATAAAGTTTTTCAATACAAAAAACGATTTTTTAATTTTTTTTTTTTTTTCTAAATTTTATTTTTTTTTTTTTTTTTTTAATTTTTAATTTTTTAATTTTTTTATTTTTTATTTTTTATTTTTCTAATTATTTAGCTTTTAGTTTTATATATATTTATTTGTAGGGTTTCAATACAGGCAATATATATATAAAATAAATACATATACAAATCAGAATGAGTGGATGCCAATTTCATCAACCATATGTAAATAACAACGAAAATGAAAAGAAGACAATTGCAGAATCTATTGAAAAAGCAACTTTAATGGATCCGTATGTTTTTATTTCATATCTTTCATTTTTATTATTTTCGCAAAATTTTAATAGTTTTTAAAAATATAATAATAATAGAGCATTAGATGCACATAAAGCTCAAAAGGGTGTTTATTATGGTTCCTATTTAAAGTTAAATGAATTATTAGGTATTCAAAATTTAGAAAGTGTTAAAGCAGGACAACCAGCACACGAAGAGATGTTATTTATAATTATTCATCAAACTTACGAATTATGGTTCAAACAAATCATTCACGAAATTGATTCAATTCGTAACATTATGTCAACCCCACCAACACCAGAACGTTTAAACGGCGTTATTGTCAATCGTCTTCAAAGAGTCACAGAGATTCAAAAACTTTTAGTCGATCAAATTAGCATTTTAGAAACAATGACATCAGTTGACTTTTTAGAGTTTCGTAATCTTTTAGTACCAGCAAGTGGTTTCCAATCAGTACAATTCCGTATGATTGAAAACAAATTAGGTATCTTACCACAAACTCGTGTTCAATATCAACAACATCACTACTCTAGCTTCTTTAACGAAGATGATCGTAAAAAATTATCCGACACTGAAAACGAAACTTCATTACTTCAATTGGTAATTCAATGGCTCGAACGTAATCCATTCCTCTACAATAAAGGTTATGATTTTTGGAGCTCCTACAAAAGTGCAGTCGATAAAATTCTCGAAAACGATTTAGCTAGAATTCAATCCAACACTGAATTAACCCAAGATATGAAAGATCAATCAACCAAAGAAGCTCAAAAGAACATGGAATCTTTTTCAACCCTTTTTGATGAAAAAACATACAACTCCAAATTAGAAAAAGGAGAGGTTAGATTAAGTTACAAGTAAGCATCACAGGGTTAACAGTTCAGTTCAGTTCAACTACCATTATTTTTTACTAATTACTATTAATTTCTTATTTTTATTTTAGAGCTTTACAATCAGCAATTTTAATATTTTTATATAAAGATGAACCAATTTTCCACACACCATTCCTCATTTTAAATCTTTTAACAGAAATTGATGAACAATTAACTTTATGGAGATTCCGTCACACAATGATGGTCCAAAGAATTATTGGTGCCAAAATAGGAACTGGTGGTTCATCCGGTTATCATTATCTTCGTACCACCGTTGGTGATAGATACAAAATTTTCCTCGATTTATTCAACATTTCAAGTTATTTAATTCCAAAAAATACTCTTCCACAACTCCCATCAGTTGTCAAAGAACAAATGGATTTCGCTTGGTCAACTTTATAATTTCATTAATTTAAATTAAAACAAATAAATAAATAAATAAATAAAAAATAAACTAATTTTTAAAAATATTAAGATTAATTTATTAAAAAAAAAAAAAAAAAGAAAGGGATATAGAAAAATTTTGTAGTTGTCATTAAAATGCATAAATAAAATAAATACACACTGTTTTTTTTCTTTATGAATATATATAAATAGTTTTTTTAAAATTTTTATTCGGATTTAACATTGTTATTTAATTTAAAAACTGAGTCTTTTGGGTTTAAGAATGGACCTCTTGATGGTTTCCATGAACCACCTGGAGTAAACTTTCTTCTTATAATACCTTCTGAAATTAATTGTCTAATACCTTCTCCTGTAATTATACAAATTATTATTATTATTATTTCATTGATTGATTTTATTGATTTTATTATTTTATTGTTTAAAATAAAAATTAAAATATTGTTAGTATTATTTTTATTATTTTTTTATTGCTATCAAAACCAGTATCATCTCCATTGAAACAACTTGATCAACTATCCATTTATTTTATTATTATTTTCATTTGATCACTTGCATATGATTTTAAATACTGTAAATTAATTGTGAAATTTGATGAATTATAGTTTTGATGTGGAAAATGATACTAGAAATTGATACCAATTATCGGTTGATTTTTTTTTTACATACTTGTTTTGGTTTCTCTAATTTTTTCCATTTGAGTTGGGTCGAGCCATACTTTCTTAGCACCAACCTTTAAATATCTCATAGCTAAATCTTTAATGTTACCACGAACCATTTTATATCGTTTTTTTTATTTATAAATATATTACAGAAAAGGTGAAAAAAAAAAAAATGATTATATAGAAAATATATTATATAAAATGATGAAATATGAAACGAAAAAAAAATTATAAAAAAATTTTTGAAAAAAAAAAATAAAAATTTTAAAAAAAAAAAAAAAAAAAAAATTAAATATTTAAAAAAACTAATATTATTTCTTATGAATTACATTTATGGACCCATAAAAGATTTAGCTTTTGCTTAAATACTCTTTAGATTTTATTCTATTGTTTGTTTATATTAGGTGATTATTTTTATCATAAACCAACAATAATATAAAATAATATTAAAAAGTAATTAATATTTTTTTTACATTTTAAAAAATGAAAATAAAAATAAAATAAAATAAAAAAGAACACACACCCCGCATAAACACAAGCATAAAATAGATATATTATTAATATATTTAAAAAGGTGTTAGAAATAAACGAACAGTAAAACTAAAAGAACAATATTAGCAATTTAATTGAAATTTTATTTTTTTTTATTTTTTTTTAATTTTTTTTTTTAAAAAAAAATTTTTTATTTTTTTTTTTTTATTTTTTTTTTTTCTTAAAATAAAATTTTTTTAGTTTTTTTTTTTCACCTTTATTTTATTTTTTTTAATTATAATTAAATAACACTAAAAAAACTATTTTTAAATATCCATTTTTTTTTTTTTTTTTTTTTTAAATATTATAATAATTTTAATAAACGATAAAAAATGGCTAAAGTAGGTGAAGGTGACCCACGTTGGATTGTCGAAAATAGAACAGATGGTCACAATGTCAACGGTTGGCATTGGTCCGAAAAAGATTGTTTACCATGGGCTAAACAAATGTTCAATAAATTATTCGAAAAGAAAGTTTTTGTTGAAAATGGAGACTATGTTATTTCAATTAGTGGCACTCCAACTGTTGGCGGTGAATGTACAGCAAATAATAGAAAAGGAAAAACTATCTTCCTCTACGAATTAGATGTAAAATTAAAATGGGAATGCAAGTTTAAACCAAAACCAGCTTTAGATAGTAATGGTAAAGAAGAGGTTGAGCCATCTCCAATGACCACTTTTAATGGTGAATTCACCGTACCATATATTGCCGACGAAAATGGTGATGAAGCTCCATTAGTTAAATTTTCAATAATTACACCAACCACTAGCGATAATAAAAAAACCATCGACCAAATTTCTTCACAAATCAAATCTGTAGGTGTACCAATTGTACAAAAAACTTGTCAAGAATTTGTTTCACTTTTAAAGAAAGGTAATTTATCCATTATTTTAATTTACATTGCCCAATTTATATTTATTAACTAATAAAAATTATTTAGAATTTGTAACTAAAAAACAAACAGAAACAGAAACATCAACACCAGCAAAAGTCACTTCATCAACTACTATTAATAAAGAACCAGTTGCTGCTAAAAAACCAGAACCTGTTAAAAAGTCCAATACTAAAACTTTAACTATTAAAGAAGAGTTCCAATGCTCACCAATGGATGCTTTTGATGCTTTTGTCAACGAAGGTAAACTCAGAGCTTACACTCAAAGCGATTGTGTATTTGAAAATAAAGAAGGTGGTAAATTCTCATTATATGGCGGCAGCATTACAGGTATCAATAAAACTCTTTCACCAGGTTCAAAAATTGTTCAAACTTGGAGACTCAATACTTGGGACAGCGGTGTTGAATCACTTGTTACTATTAACTTTTCAGTAGACGGCAAGCCACTTACCAATGTTGAAATCGTCCAAACTGGTATTCCAATTGATGAGTTTGAAAAGACTGAAGAGGGTTGGAGAAGAAATATTTTAGAAAGAATTAAATTAACTTTTGGTTATGGTTCAAAGATTTATTAAAAAAAAAAAGAAAAAAAAAAAAACAAATCGTGGTTATAGTTTAATTTGGAGAAACAACAACAAAACATATATTTAAAAAGAAATCTTTATTCTTATTGTTGTTTTTTTTATTTTAAAGTATACACGATGTATCCTCAATCTTTTTTTTTTTTTTTTTTAAAGTTTATATTTTTTTTATTTTATATTTAATAAATAAATAAATAAAAACCATTTTTTTATTATCTAAAATATACCCTTTTTTTTTTTTTTTTTTATAATATATATAAATATATAAATTATTTATTTTTTATTTAAAATTAATTTTATTATTTTTTAATATTACTTTTTTGGTACAAAATTTTTTGGTTCAAGTAGTATTGATTGTTCATAAAGTTCATCTTCAAATTTCTTTTTATCATTTACAGAGGGTAGTTCACATAGGAAACTTAAAACTGAGTTCTTGGGTTTGATTGTATAGCCTTGTTGTTGATATTGTTGAATTTCTAAAATTGTATTGTAAATTAAATCTCTTTTTTTAAAATTGATTAAACCTTTGATTTCGTCTTGGTTTCCATCTTCTATGAATGTTAAATCTGTTAAATAGATACCAAGATATGGAATCAATGGTGGACATGTTGAATGAATTAAATCCCTGTAGGTTTTATGGGATTTTTTAGTCTCTATGAAAGAACAAAGCAAGTCGAATTTCTTTTGATACTGTTTTGCTATAAGGGATTTGGTGTAGTTTAGACGATAGACAGCGGTTGTATTTAACCCAGATAGACCTGCTATTAGACCATTAAAATTTGAGAGTTTGTAAAGGGCATAGCATATTTTAATCATTTTTAACATCATTTTTGAACGGGTTTTAACATCATTTTCCCTAAGAATAGCCCATGAAACGAATGAGCTAAAGTTGTTGAAACGGTTTACCATGTTTACAATATTTGGTGTATTGATTTTTTGTTCTGGTTTGGACCATGCCTGATTTAATAATTCGATTTCTTCAATAGATTTATAAGAGTCGAAATCCAAAAGAGTTAATTGTTCTGCTATATCGTTTGAGCTTAATGAGAAAATATACTCGGATGTATATTTTTTCCAAAATATCTTTTGTTTAGGAACTACTACGGCTGGTACAACTAATCTTTCAGGTGACTTGGTGTTGTTAAATTTCTTTAAGATTAAATCGCTTAATTGACCATGACCATTCTTTCTTGTTGCATTTAGAAATGATGTTAGGGTTTTTAAAATCTCTTTATGAAAGTCCGCTGGGTATTGTTCGATCCATAGTCTGAGTACATTCAAAACACGTAGTTGAATTGGCGTTTGAATCTTTTGTATGAAAATATGTGGTGTTATATTTCTTAGGTTGGGGGTAAAGTAACGTTGAATTAATTTAGATAAAAAAATTTCGGCAGTTGTAAAAGATCGATAGGTGGTAATAAAAGTTTTGGCAAATTTTAATTCGGTATGTGTTTCACTTGTTAGTTTTAGTATTAATTGATTAAGTGAAGCATGTTTAATTGTTTTATAGTTTTTATCTTCGGAGTTGGTATTGTTTATATAATGGACATTAATAAATTCCTTTTCTTCTTCAATCCAAATACTGGTATCAACAGTTTTCTTTGTTAAATTTGGAAATACCTCTATAACATTATCTATTGCAGTTTGTAGTTGATTCTCTTCAAAAGACGATGTTCTTCCAACAGTAGGTGAAAAATTGCCTGTAGAAAAAGATTTGCCAATTGATTTATGTGGAATTAATCCATTGGCACCATTGGGTATTAATAAATCATTGTTCATTTCTTTATCTTTACCTTCTTTAAGAGAACTTAGCATTTCCATGGTATTACAAAGATCTAGTTGAAAAGTTGGTGTTGATTCTGCACTACCTACAGATGAAGCATTGGCATTACCAGGTTTTGATGGTGATCCAGTGTGGTTAAAAAACATTGATGGTGACATTGCTGATTGATTATTGTTACCACCAATATGATGATAATGGTTTGGTGAGCTTACAATGGATCCAGTAGTTGATTTTCTATTAAATAATGGTGGTGGGTGATGATAGGTGGAGCTAAGAGTTAAATTACTTGTTGTTGTAGTTGTTGTTGTTGTAGATACAGGTACAGGTATAACGATAGGTGGGGGGGTTGGTGCTGGATTGGTTGATATATGGCTTGGTGATTGTGAGTTTAATGGACTTTGGTTTGAAGAAAAGGAATTTGGACTACTGGATGTAATATTTCTTTTTACAAAAGTCATTGGGGAGTCTGTTGATAGAGAGTGAGATAAAAATAAACCACATTTTGGTGAAATACTTTCTGAGGCTGATGATTGTATACTTTGTTGAAGGCATGGACTATAAATATCATTGTTTCCAATACTTTTTGTATATTCTTTTATAAAAAGTTCTAAAATTGTTAAAATTTGATTAATGATTAAAACTAAATCATCTTTTTCATATGAATTGTTTTTACTACTTGTTTCTACTATTATTGGTAAATTATTTAATTCTTTTTCATTATTTATTGTTATAGCTGCAGTTTTATTATTTATTGATTCAAATTCATTCTCAAATACATCATCAGATTCATTTATAATATTTTTTAATGGACTTGGTAGTTTTGGAGTTTTTACTGTAAATTTTGGTGAGAATGTTTGTTGCTTTTCAATTAAATCGTTGTCAAAATATTCTATTAAGGTTGGAAATAATACTAGCGAGGTTAAAAATAGTTTTGTTGAGATATTTGTTAATTCTATCGATCTTTTCTTTGAGTCAATCATATCTAGTGCCTTTATTTGATTATTGAAATCCTTTGAGTTTTTAATTAGCATTACAATAATTTCTAGTGTGACTGCATATGTAGTGTTGGTATATATTGAACAGTTGGTAGAGTTGGTTGTTGGATCTTCAATATATTCGCTTTGATATTTATCTAAAAGTTCATAAAGATTATTTTTTATTTTTTTGCACTGGTCCATAATTTCCAAGTAAACCTCTTGTATTAGTTGTATTTTGAATGATGGTGTTTTGCCCATTTTCTTTAGTGATAGTTTTTTTCCAGTTGGGGTATTGCAGCCACTGTTGCTAAGTGATGTATTATAGTTAAAATTATTATTGGGTGTTGTTGTAGTTGTAGTGGTGGTAGTAGTTGTCGAGTTTGTTGTATTGGTACAGTCTGTATAGTTGCTTGATGTATCGTCGATATTATAATTTCCATTCAAATGATTGTTATTGCTAAAAGTAAGAGCATTTATATTATTAAAGGATGAGTTGCTTGGTGATGAAATCGAAGGAAATGATGATAGGGACGAGTTTAAATTGGATGGTGAATTGCTATCATCAACACTACTAATACTATCGTTGCTATCTGACATGTCATTAACATTGCTATTTATTAATGATAGGTTATTGCTCCAAAAGTGAATTTTTAAATATTTCTTTAATTGTGAAAATAGTTCTATTCTCTTTATGTTGATATCACCTATAAATTAATAATTATTATTAGTATTGGTTTTCCATTATAATCGATTTAATTGTATGTAATGAATAAAAACATACCATGATAATATTCAAACTTTATTTCTTTTAATAAAAATTTAATTGACTTTATTACACTATATTTGATAGATTGGTTAATTAAATTAACCCTTTTTAATAAATATTTACAATGTTTTTCTAATTGAACAATTGATTCTCTAAAATCCTATAATAATAAACAAAAAAATATATTGTTAAAAATCTATTGTAATTGATAATAAAAAAAATGGTAACCAAATATATTAATATTTACATCTAAAGTTGATTTATATTTTCTATCCATTGTTTCACCATTTAATTGATTTGATTTCATTGAATAAATAGATTGTGCTTGTTTTTCTATAGTTGAAATATTTTCTAATAATGATGTTCCCATAAATTCTTCATTTTTGATATATGGCCCCAGTATTGGAAATTTCCCTAAATCTATTTCTTCGATCAAAAAAATATCATTTTCACATTCGACAATTATAATTCCTTTATTTAAATTAAACCATTGTGAACCATTTGATGATAAAATAAATTTATTATTACTATTATTGCTATTGTTATTATTTATATTATGATCCATTTTTCTACCTATTACATTAATTGTACTGTACACTTTTTTTCTTTCATTTTCGAAAATCTAAAAAAAAAAAAACTTTGTATTAATATTTTATTTCTTGTTGTTTTATGCTAAAAAATCGAATTGTATGTATATATACTTTAAAATATAACTTTTTATTATCTTCTATAAAATCGAATAATATGATTTCATTTAATGTTGTAAATTTGTTTTCTTGCCATCCCCAAATAACGACAACCATTTTTGTTTCTTTATTTATATTATTAAAATGGAAATAATTGTTATTCTAATAACATGAAAATAAAAAAAAAAAAAAAAAAAAAATTGAAAGATTTTTTAAAACCTTTTTCTTTTTATTTCTTTCTCTTTTTTATTTTGTATACTAATAAAGTATTTAAAATTTTTATTAATATTATATATACTGATAAGATTTATAAAATTATAAATATAAAATAAATAATTATAAAAAAAAAAATAAAAAAGCAAAGTAGTAATCTAATTTTTTATAAACTATACAATTTTAAAAAAACAATACAAGTTATTTGTTATTATTTTTATTATTTTTATTATTATTATTGTTTAATAAAAAAACACAAGTAAAATAAAATAAAAATAGTAAATAAAAAAAATAAAAATTAAGAAAAAAAAAAAAAATTAAAATTTATTATTATAAATGTAAATTTAAAAAATTAAATATTTTATGTTATTTAAACTATTATATTGTATGTACACTATTATATAATACTATATATCTTTGGTTTGAGTGTGGGTGTGTTTGATGATGATTGTTTTATGTACATATAGGGAAAAAAAATAAAAAATTATTATTATATTAAGTAATTAAATAATAAATAAATAAATAAATAAAATAAATAAAATAAATAAAATAAATAAACAAACAACAAATTATATTATACTTTTATATAGTATATGTATATATTAATATATGAGAATTAGTGAGAATATTTGATTATTAAAAATTAAAATTAAAAAAAAGTGGAAATTAAAATTAAAAAAAAAAGGTGAATAATGATAATGATTTTTATTATATTATTATTTATTAATTTTTTTTTTTTTTTTTTTGATTTTTTAATTATATAAATGATTTTATTATTTTTACAATATGTTTGTTTTATAATAACAATATAAATTGATATTATGATTATATTATATAAAATATTTTTTTATTAAACAAAAAAAAATAAAAATAAAACATATACTAAGTACTATTTATAAAACAAAAAATAAAAATAGAAGTTAATTAATTATTTTAAATTTAAATTATTTTAGTA